TGAATCAGGTGAGATGCTGGGGCAGGTGACAGTGGAAGAGGAACTGCAGCCCCACTCACCGATGCGAAGCCTGCTGGCTCCAAAGCAGTTTCTAGGTTTGCTTCAATTGCAACATACGAACAGAAATCAACAAAGATTCTTTTCAGATCCTACTCTGGAGCACAAACTCCTCATGTTAAAAAGAGAAATGTCATGAAAAAACACGTTGACTATTCAGTAAAAGAAAAGAGCACAGTAATGTAATGGCCTTAGGTTACAAGCCCAGCCCCATTACATTTGATACTTTCCACCCAAAGAACAACTTCAAGGCACTGCCTGACACGGCAGCCATCCATCCCCAAGAGATCAGGAACCCGGCCTACGTGAGCCACAAGGTTCATAAATGAACTCAAACTCGACAACATCGGGAGGAACCCAGACAGTGATTAACAACGCAGAACAAGCTCTGTTCTGGGCTGGGCCACGACATCAGTTTAACGCCCAAAAAAGCCCCGTTTCAGTGTTCGCCAGCCCGCTTCAGACACCTTCTAGCCCTCCAGGACAGAAACAGCTTCACACGGTGAGTGGCAATACAGCAACAAACTACCTTTTCCCCCACCAAACTTTTTACTTCTATTTTCCCACTCCTAACAGGAGTGGTGGCATGTTTTACCTTTTCCTTTTTTATTTTTATCATCCACATAATTAAATTAGTAGCCTCCAGGAATCACATATGCAATTTAAATACAGAGAGATAGTGTTAATCCTTCTGGTATCCCACAAATTATGATGAAAATGTAACAAAATTTACAGGAAAAAAATTCTGATGGCAAGGTTTGTATCATCAAATTCTAAATCCCACAAACAAATCATTAAGTGCTATGTTTAAAGAAAAAGAGTTCTCCCCACAGTACAGAGATCGCTGTAGTGTGACGGTAGTGTCAGAGTGCGCCGCTTGCTCCAGGGCATCGCCATCTGCAGCAGCACAACATTTCGTCTCCAGTAAATAAACACATCTGCCTTTGCCAGTGTCCTCCCCACTGTGCTGCCCATCTGGAGCAGGTGAGCTGGAAGACAGGCGTGGGCTCAGGAAGGAGGGGAGACACAGGGAGGATCAGGCCTCAAGGGACATGACGCAAGGGAAGACAGCAGTGCCACATCCTGCTGGCTAAGTTTACCAAAAAGCCTGCTAAATAACTCCTGTAAGAGGTACTTTAAGTCGTATGTAAGAAATAGCTGCCTCTGTTCAAGTGGGCAGGACATCCAGTGTCAGCCTCACCTACACCATCTGCGCAGGTCAGAGGCCCCTGAGCACCAGGCAGCCAACAGCCATCTGGGCCAGGCACCAAGCAGCATTACCCCCTCGCACCAGCCTCAAAAACCACACAGAGTTCCACAGAACACACACAGAGCTTCCACATCACATCTGAACAAAAGCTACAGCAAGCAGTGTCACTGCCAGCCATCATCTACCAGCCACGCTTAATCCACATAGTTGGCTGCAGTCATTTAAACCAGAAGAGTAGCGGTTCATGTACAAGACTGAGACAGGACCCCGCACTGAGGTCTTCCACCAACCCGCTCTAACTTCAGTAACTTCAAAACTTGCCACCTTCAGCGGTCATCCATGTCAGAAATGAGAACAGTGATCTTGGGTTGTTCCTGCGGATGAGTTCTGGAAGAAGGGTCTGGGCCCCACTCCACACGTGTGTAATTCCCAGCAATACAGCTCTGATCGTTAACATTGCTTTTGGCTGCTGTAAAACCTCGTTTCAGGCCTGTGCAGCACTGTTCGAATAGCAACATCATTTATCCCATGCCCTACCCGTGACAGAGCTGTTCAACTTCATCCCCACATGCTATTCCTTCTCGTTTTCTTTCACATAGCACATTGAGAAGAACACTAATGAAATGCTTCCTAACCTCGGATCTTTAAAAGTCTGTGTGCCCCTTCATGACAACTTCTCATACTTTGAAAAAATTACCATGAGAAAAATCAGTAACTGCTGTTTAGTAACTTGAAAATACAGCTCCAGCTTGGATTTGATATTTACTGAAAGCCTCATGTTGCTGTTTACAAAAGGGACATGTTTTGCTAAGTACATCAAACAGCTTTGCTCTATTAAATCATTTTCCAAGAAGATTAAATGGATTCAGTGCATTTGCATGAAAACTGACAACCTTATCTCGATGTTAAAGAGGCTTAATTCACTTAGCTGTCTGCAGTGCTTGTGACAACGTGTTTATCGGGCCCCGGGCTGCAATTATAAGACTATAGTTGTATCACTTATCAATAAGTGATGTGATAAGTCTTTTTAAATAAGCAAATCGAGTTATATTTTAATAAAACATCCTTTCAGCAAAGTGAATTCATCACTAAAGACAGAAGCTGCCACCTTTTCATCAAACTCCATCACTTGAAAATGGAAAAGTTTTCCCCTGTAAGCCTTTGCAGAATCTTTCCGCTATTACTCACCCGACTCCGAAGATAGTCAGCTAGGTTTCGTCGTGTGAAGTTTGCAGCTGCAGTAGGAGACAATTCATAACCTGGAGAATAAATGTGTGTATTTGATAACAGTACAAATCCATATTCATGTTTCACTTCCTGACTTTCCATTCCTATTTCAAAATAACACGATGTTCTTGAATGACAAAGTGTCACTTGTCTAATTCCAGTTTATTCTGAAAGCTACAAGCATAAAAAGGGCCCCCAAAATCCAGGTAGCTCATATCTGTATAGACCACTAAAATACCCAGATTCAAAAAACTAAAATTCAGTGGGCAGGTGGCCTGAATTTTTCAGTCAGGTATATCAGGGAAAACTTGTAAATATTGTCATGCAATGGACTTATTAACAGAAATATTTTACTAACAAACCTATTACCGTGTCATTTAAACTACAGACAGGTTAGCTGGGCTTTGGATAAACCTCTTGGTTCATGCTATATAGTCCAATCTCCATTTGTTTATCCTGCCTTCACTACCACTAAAAACGCAGAAACCCTTAAAGCTCGAGCAGCTTTGAGAACAGCACTTTCCATAACATTCAACTGTAAACTGCACCCATGGTTGACTCTGCCTCCAAACCCTCAGTGAGTAACTGTTCTCCTTCACTCACCATTTCTCATCTTGTAGAGCTGAACATTTTTCTGGATGTATTCTGCGAACTGGACAGTGTCTCCAGCCTCCCCAACGCACAGGAGTAAGATCTTTTCACTCATCTTAAACATTTTGTCATGGTCTAGGCAAAGAAACGTAACACTTAAGAGCCATGGTCACAAGAAAGAATATACTATTTTGACAATATCATAGCACATGATTTCTTTCATAAGAGAGTAAGAGACACTGAGAACTACATTATGGCCTGGAGTTCTACCAAAAAAGTCTTCCTGAGCAAACCTGGCATTCAGCCTCTCACAGCTGGTGGCACAGTGCACCAGACTTGTTAAACACATCACCAAGAGAAACAAAGACGAAATGCACAGAGTGCTTCTTTCAGGAAGGGAGGCATGGTCTTTCTCACATAGAAACAGACTAAAACTTCACACACAATATTGTCTTCAGACAAAGTTCAGCATTATACGTGGTGCTTCCTGGGGTCAGCAACAAGAATTTTGCTCCGTGGCCACTCCACTTTACCTAAACATGCTGCATCAGAAGCAAATCCTTTAGTATAATGCTGAAATATCAACACACTGAGCGAAAGCAATCTTCGGAAACCCAGAACCAAATTCCATGTCAAATGATCCTCTCTTCCCGATATCCAGGACTGTCCCAGAAATTGGCAACTTAGGTGAGTGAGGCTTTTTCACAAACAGGTTTTTGCTTGTCATTATTTTTTGTAATAAAATGAACACTTAAGTATTGATTATAAATCACAAAGCAGCCCACTGATATACACGGAAATTAAGGAACAGTAAGCTACTACACTTTTACTCATAATAGCAGTTTAAAAAACTTGTCTGTGTGTATTTGAGGGAATTCAAGCAGTCACGATGACGGCACTGAAGACAATTCTGCGCTCACTCTAACACTGCAGTCTCACCGGACGAGAGCAGACTGGCTCTCAGGTACTCGAGACAGAAAAATTCAAGCAGCTGCTGGTGTGAAAGGAAAAGCACTTCTCTGTACTGAAGGCAGGTCTGAGGAGCAGCGCTAACCTGCCACCTCTGAACCCTGAACTTTCAGTTTATTAAATGCTGCTGAATAATCCCTGCTGCAAGGCAAGTACGGAGTGTCACAATCCTCTAACAGGACTCTGGGAGTTCTCACAGTGCGCAGCGGCTGCACAGAAGCTGCAGGTCTTGAGAATTCAGGAAAGGCCACTGACACTGATCAGCCCTTGCAACCAATTTATAGATTAAAGCCAGTAAATGCCAATATTCTAAACAAATACCTGAAATTTGTGGGGTTGCCCCCTCCCAAAGACAAGTAAATGCTATGTGCTAAGTACATTTCTTTAAAGTTTATGAATAAGCCTACTTGGAAGCAACGTTAACTTACAAAACATTGTTTAAAGTGGTATTTGTATTTTGTGTGTGCCACCACCTTTGAGTCATCTTTCTAACATTGCTCCAGTTGACTTTTACAGACCTGACGTGAAATATCTTAGGTAAAAGCACTACTACAACATTCACAATTTATGGGATGTTTCGCAATACTGCAATCCACTTTATTGTTTTTTTTTAAAAAGAGCTTCTAAACCACAGTGTTTAGATTAAAAAGAAGAATACACCTTGCAAACAACTTCAGTCTAGGTTACTGCAACAGCAGGCAGAAAAATTAATTTTAGAGAATTTCAAAGGCTTGATAATGCCCCAGACGTCTTAGCATGTAAAGAAACCAAAACCACACTGCAGTTCGGCTCGTACGCCTTGTGCTACCAACCTCACTGATGCTTTTCCTTCCAGCACCCCCTTTTTTCCACGAATTACCTCCTGCCAGGGAACTGCCGAGCACTGAACCTCACTCACCGCTGTCCCTGCGCAGCGTTTCCACACCACCGCATCGCGCTGCCCGGCGAGGCTGCGGCTAAGGAGCCTGCGCTGGGAGCTGAG